ACACACACACACACACACACACACACACACACACACACACACACACACACAATGAGACATGTTAATGTGCAGAGGCCTTCAACTCTAATCATCCTACTAAAACCATGCGTTATGACTATGCCACCCTGTGGAACCAGCATCAGGTGCTGAACACTTATTGCAACCAGGCAGCAAACCGAGACAATACAGGAAGGAGCCTAACCACAACAAGCAGCACAGATATCCTGTGTCAAATTTCCAAGCAGCATGCATGCCAGGAATAAGGTCAGCTTCTCAGTAGAGAGAAAAGGTGAGATTTATTTTCTTTAGTTGCGTTCTTGATTTTTCAACAGACCTTCAATCATCTTTGCAAAAAACTAAAAGGATATTTTCATGCAATCATAGCAAGGTGGTGCATTTGTATATAAAAAAGGGGCAAAACATGTGACTCACCTCTTTTAATTTGGCAAAACTTCTYAGAGCTCCAAGTAATCCCAAATCTCCTTCAGCTCACACACTCATGCATGGCCCCCTGATCCGAGCCCCGCTCCGATTCTCTGCTCTCCTTCCTCTGCTCGGCTCACATGAAGGCTGCTGTGTTTTTGCAGCTGTTCACGACGTGGGCTGACTGAAAGGAGGAGGTCTCCCGCTCCCTCCTTTATGTGTGTCACCCAGCTGCAGCTTCCTGTGACGCTCAACCCTCTGACAACCGATGCGGGTGGCTCAGATGAAGTGCATCACATTATTATGAAATAAACCCAACATCTACGCAAGCAGCATTTACATACACCTGTACGTGAAGTGATGATGCATACACAAAAACAATGTTTACATTTTTTTTCCTGCATCACTGCAAACAGGAACATGAGATAAGAGTCTGCAGAATCATGTTCCACTGCCTGCCCACTCTGCTCCATTTATCACCAGGCCCAACTGCAGAGCCACAGAGACAGAGCAGCTCAGACCTCCATGGCTGATTAATACTCAACATTTATAATAAACGCTGACTTTTAAAAATGATTCATGTTTACTGATAACTGTGGGTTTACGCACAGGAAGTGGCGGGAAAGAATCACAGAAAGAACAAATTAAAGAATACTTGTAAAGCTGCAYCTTCAATAATTTATGCAAAATGTGCCTTTTTGTCTATAAAAAAGATGTAATCTTAAGAGAAAGATTGTCTCTGTGTTATGCAGTCTCTGTTCAAACTACATGT